TCATCGCAAACCAGTGTCCTAGAATTGCCGACTTTGGGTGTAAAGCAACACTCTGTGAGGAGGAATTTGTCACTCCTTTTCCCCATATTTTATGTGAATTTTTCACTCCCGCCCGACATTGTCTAATCGCACATGCCAAACCCCTATTTCCCTTTTTGAGGTTTTCAGGTGTCATCCCAAACCGAGCTCACTTGAAACCACCAACCATAAACGAGGCTCCACAGAACCTGGACACTTATGGCTATGTCCTGCCTCACCTACATCTGAATAATGTCTATGCATGCACAGAACAAGGGCGCCAGGTACCTCCAAGCCCAAGAACCCTAGCGACTCCAGCCTCTTGCACGCATTAAGTTTGGTTTGTTTACAAACTACATTACAATCGGCAGCTGTGTGCCAAATGCAAGGTTTTCACGCATCCCTCATTTTTTCGTCTCACCACCACACCACGAAAGCAGAGCCTGATGCAAACACCAGCAAGGCCTGGTAGAGAATTTTACTCCACGTATTTCTTTTTCCCCAAGGAAACTTGACCACTAAATCGCATCACTCACGAAATGCAGGAATGAAGGATTCTAGAAATGTCTTCCAAATTAAATTTACAAGATGAATATCACCATCTGAGCACTTAATTTAACAGCTTTTAAGTCAAATCAGCTGATAACAAAATGTCGCCAGAAAAGTATCAGGCTTTATATTTATTTAACTACGTCTATTTTTCTTGGTATCATACGAGTGTGATACCACTTTATTCTCCCTTTCTATTGGGTTGCCTTTAGAGGTACCGTCTGTTGTTTCCAATGTTGACCAGTTTCTCTGCAAGATTCCCAAACTGCGAACTTGTACGCATTTCATACATAACTTGGATTCATTCGCCAGCCGCCCAAACCTGTTTGATATGCACCCAAGAGTGAACAGTTCACAAGGAATGAAGGAGACAATTTAAAGCATGGAACCAATTTTTACCGCCATTTTTCCCCGTTAAACCCACGTTTAGCCGTTTTCTTGGTTCATGGCGGTGCTCAATAGTGATAAAGCTAAGCCTTTCGAGTGTCTAACTCACCAGACTACCTGACAAGGCCATCCTAATGCTGTCATACAGAGCTTTGGGACAGACCTGACGCATCTAATACAGAAGTGTTTGATGGCGAACTTCTGCCCTCTGGAGATGTTTATCATGCACACCTCTTACTCGTTTCGCATTTTAACCTCGTAGGCTGGTCGGCATGATTGATATTTTTTGGGGGGGTGTGGTGTGAGTGGGATGACTGTCTGCCAGTAGAGCATGCAAAAGGTACTGACTTTTTGTCTTGGGGGAGCAGGAAGAAGCCAGTAAGCCTCCTGTGAACCAAGTAATTGCTTACCTTACCTGCTTTCAACACAGGGTTAATAACCAGAGTTAGGCATTTTCTGTTTTCATCGATCGAGTTTTGTCATAAGACAAATTATGATACCAAAAGGCATGCAATGGGCTTATTTTGTTCCACATTCTTGATTCTTTGCCCCAAACTTCTCGAAGTATTCGCTCATGGCTGCTTTAACCAGTTGTTTTATATAGTTGTCATGGTTTGCTGACTGGCAAATAACTGTACCGTATAAATGTACTATATTTTTAACACAGAGATACTCTAAGCTGCATGGCAATTATAATGTGAGTTAAATATTATTATGTAACAAATAGTCAGACCATCTCATTTAAAATGTGAAGCAAACATGTCAGACTTTGTCATTAGATACAAATAAACAAACCTAAATAGATGTCTTTGCTGCAGCTGAAAAGGCAAGCAGCAATACTGGCATGGTCATCTAAAGATTATGTTACTTTTGGAGAAGAGAGATTGTTTTGTGGAGCATACCCATTATTGCCCTTGACTTAGCTTAACCATGGCAATCAAAATAAGTTGTTTAAAATGACTTCAAGTACTTTGGTTTGTTTGTTGTCAACTTTGTCTGATGTCAACAACCATACACAAATGAACTGAATAAAAATGTAAGTTGAAACCAGCCAAAAATTAGCTATATCATGTTTTTACCACAAGTGCTGCTGTCAACGGATAGGTGAGTTGAGATGATGTACAACATATGGGCTACTCTAAGTTAGGTTAAGTTGGTTAAGCGCATGGCAAGTGGCAATAGGAATTGTGCAAGAATCAGTAATTCACGACTGCTGCTGTGATACAAACGGGTTTGACAGGATGAGATGAAGTAAGGCCTCTTTACGTTAGGCATAGTTAGGCTACTTTCATAGAATAAGCATTGGTATTTTGTGAGCAACAGTGACAAAATGTTAGTTTTCCCTGACCCCATTTTAACAAAAGCCAGAGGTATGTCTATTATGTTTGACTTGGTGGTGGGCTGCTGTGTAGGAATCCGACGTTTTTTGTTCGTTTTTTTTTTGTTGGGTGTTTTATGCCTGTTGACTTTTCTGTTATTTTGTTATTGAAGTCCTTTGCTTTGTTTTGTGTTTAAGTGCTGTGGAAGGGAAGTGCAAAGTACAGTATCAAATTATTGGTGTTAATAATTGTTTATGCTCAGTACACTGTCATGAAATTACTATGCTTTAATGTATTCTGTTTCACTTTAACGACTTAAGATGTTAAAAAACCATAAAGTTCTGTTAGGTTTCTGATATTACGTCCATGCCAACTTGAACTAGATGACTTTGTTTGCTGAGGCATCAGTCACGAGCTCATAAGTTCCATCTTTTGTGAACTGATTTTTTCACTCCTGCACGGTCTTTTTGCGACGGAATTTTTCACTCCCACCTTAGTTCAAAAGCAATTCTAGCTCCCTGTGGCAAACGCTGATGAACCTTTACCCCAGCATGTGAGGAGATCGAGTCGTCGCTTCATACATACAGATGTGATGGTGATAACACAAGCAGAACATCTATTAATGCGTTTCCTTTGCTTGCGGGCAAGAATGGTGAATGGTGATTACACTGGCACCATGACATGTGCAAAAATCATGTCGTCACCGTCACCCGTGTCGCCTGTTGGAGGTTCCTCTCTAGGAGTCTTATGGGCGAGGAAGGAGCGCGGAGGCCACCGCTCCTACGCCGTCCCTGGCACCGGAGCTGACGTGAGCCCTTCTGCCGCCTCAGCCCCCGCTGCCACCCCAGCCCCCGCTGCCGTCTCAACCCGCGCTGTCGCCTCAGTCCCCCTGCTGCCGCCTCAGTCCCCCTACTGCCGCCTCAGTCCCCCTACTGCCGCCTCAGTCCCCCTACTGCCGCCTCAGTCCCCCTGCTGCCGCCTCAGTCCCCCTGCTGCCGCCTCAGTCCCCCTGCTGCCGCCTCAGTCCCCCTGCTGCCGCCTCAGTCCCCTACTGCCGCCTCAGTCCCCCTGCTGCCGCCTCAGCCCCTGCTGCCACCTCAGCCCCCGCTGCCGCCCCAGCCCCCCCCCCCCTGCCGTCTCAACCCCCGCTGCCGCCTCAGTTCCCCGCTGCCGCCTCAGCCCCCGCCGTCAGCTCTCCCCGCCCGTGAGGAGAGCTGTTGGCGCCCGGGTCTCGCCCGTCAGCAGCAGCACGCGGTGACGGGAGCGTCGCGTCCGTCTCAGACATCGTGGCATCGCTGGCGGCCGGCCACGACCGTCACTCCCGATAACAATGCTGTCAGCTTGCGGTCCGGGTCTGGGTCCGGCAGCCGGTCCCATGCCGGGTCTGCGCCAGCTAGCGGTGTCAGATGTATGGGGATGCGTTCACACGGCGTGTTGAAGCTTGCCAGTCAGACGGACACGCTTTTAAGATGAGATGACTTCCATTGGAACGAAAAATCCGAATTACGTACTTTTCAGTGGTGGCTTATGATCAATGAGCACGGGTAGATAAATGCCTTGAATGGCGTAACTCGTTCCAACGCCGCACCCTATTTTTGGATGGCTTACGATTCGGAAGACGAGGCTAAACTGACGTATCGTTCAAGGTATATTAAACTAATTTAGTGTTGCAGCAAGCGGAGAAACATTTGCTCATCATCTTATCGAATGGCTAGTTTGTTGTCAATCTCAAATTGGCCAACGGGCGTGAACTAACTCCCCGCCCAGTAAACCCGTGGGTCGCCCTTTTGGAGCACATGGAAGGTACTACTTTCACACAGCGCGACTTGGAAATGTGCAGGTTCGCAGTTCCGTTTTATGTAAATGGGCCCAAGAAATGGTGAAATTTGCTGTCTGTAATCGCGGCCGAGAATCGGCCGTGCGACGAGCGTTGACCATGATCGCATGCTGTTTGGTGGCAGTCGTCTTGACATCGGAGCAATGTTAAGGTCCCGGGTCGTGGAGGCTTGAACCCGTCCTTTTCGTGACCGCCTCGCTAGATGTGCCGATTCTATCGTCGATGGCTCCGTTCCGGCGCAGCTTGTGAAACACGCGCGGTAGTGACCTTCGCCCCACGGACCCTAGGGAGGCACGTCCTTCTGGGAAAATCCTGTGGCCCTGGTCGGGGGGTTTGATGCCTTGCCGGCACGCTACATGGCCGAGCGCGCCGCAGGAACACAAGGCATGTCTGACGCATTAGACAACGCAGATCCGGGCCGAGATCAAGCCGAGAGCTCTTCTCGCCCATTACCGGCCACGATGGTCATCTATTATCTGACCCTCCCCCCTCGCGTCCCCTCCCCTTGACACGTGGCCGATGCCCTCGGCCCACCGCCCCGGCCTGCATGTCTGATGAGAACGCTGGCGCCAGTCCTGGCCTCCCAGTTTTTATCACATCACAAATTAAACCGAATACTCTGCATTATAGGCGGACGCGGGGACCACCCGGGTGGAGGGGGCGGGGGGTCGGAGCGGCTCGGCGCGCCGCCGCCGCCCGTCCCGTCGGCGCATTCATCACGGCTGCTCTGCTCGACAGGGCTGCTTTGACCGGGCCGCCGGGGAGCGGTGGCGGCGGCGGCCGTGCGCTGCTCTGGCGCCGCCCCTGCCCGCGGGCCCAGCGTCACTCAGGGGCGCCGCCGCCAGCGAGGCGCCGGCCGAGGGCGCTGCTTTGTCCGCGCCGCGGAGACGCGCGCGCGAGGGGAGACGAGGCGGACGCGCCCGCTGCCGGGAGACGCACCGCTGCTGGGAGACGCGCCGGCTGCTGAGGAGGAGTCGCTGACGGCCGGGAGAGGACTCATTCACCCCGGGGAGGCCTCTGTCCGGAGACTCGTCCACGCCCGAGGACACCCGCCGACGCCGAGGAGGAGGACTCGCCGAAGGAGGACTCGCTCGCCGCCGGGGCGAGAGGCGCCGGAGCCAAGGCGGATGCGGCCCGGCGCCGCCTGATGGCCGCCGTCGGCCGGGGGCTGCTGCTGCTGCTGCTGGCGCTTAGCTGGGCGGCACCAGCGCCAGGCAAGCGCGCGAGGAGGCCACGTGGCCCGGAGCCGACCCCGGCCGCGCCGCCGGCCACGCCGGCCCGCACCGACGGCTGGAGACGACGACCGACGTCGACACGAGAGACGCAGGCGGCTGGACATCGCGTGCAGGTCAGTCGGCTGGAGGCCTGATTGGCTTCCGTGCTGGATGGCTGCGCTGAGCGGATGTTAGCGGCAATGGGATCTAATGGGAGGGGGGGGGGGGGGGAATGGGAAGCGTCTTCGCCGTCGCTTCTCAACACCCGGCAATTTGACTGAAGCGTTGGCGGGCATAGTGAAATGTTATAACGAAGGACTGCTGATTGGGCAGTTGGAACTGAACTGTTCCACATACTCGCCACCGGTCAATAAAGAATGAATCCTAACATAATGTTCCATGACGTTGCGGGTTTTGACCGTGACCATGAACCTGGCACCCTGTATGAATACGTGGGGCTGTTGGAAAGAGATATTTGTAAACAGGACATTGTAAAGTATTTATCGATGTGGATCATAAGCTATCAGAGAGGTGATTTGTTGATCAGGGCATCATAGCAATAGATCGAGGACGCGTCAGCAGGGGCGTGGTTTCCCGAAATGAGCAGGGCAACGGAGAAAATGGTTAAATCTACCCAAATTCGCCAAAGGTAGTTTCGGCCCACTTTTCTCGAAATTGGGCGGGGAGGGGGGGGGGGGGTGGGCGGAGTACTCGCATCTCAACAGATACCTGCACCCCTGACAGCTGGTATTTCAAAAGTGATGGGAAAATCGGCGTTACCGATGAACTCAAGTTAGACAGCGTTAAGCCACTATTCACGTTGATTACTTTTCCCTCAACTGACTTTACTCACGTTTCGAATATTTTGCTCTCAGAATGTATTTTCCCATTAGCATCAAACTTGTGCAAGCTGTGGGCCCGCATTGATGCATAATGCTTACGCAGTACAGGGGTTGTATGGTGTCGCAATGTTTTTCTTTTGTCGGGCGCCCCGCACGGTAATTACGTGACGCGGTGCTCAGCACCGCATCACGCCGGCCATCCTGGAGCTAATCAGCCCACCCCAGCCAATGCTTGGTCCAGCCTGCATCACCTAACTGTCGATGCTTGGTAAAACCCAAGTCATCCCCATTGGCACAGATGAGGCGGATTTCTTCGTCACGATTAGCACCGAGGAAGATCAGGGTTCACTTAGCCGCAGCTTATTATCTGTGCCCGTTCTGTAATGAAAACATAACTTCGGTCATTTTGTGGAGTGCATCAAGGATAACGGCGGCCGCATGTGACAAATGGGAGGTCTGCACATCCGTGGACCCGGGCCGCGTCAGTCCGCCGGGTCGACACGGGCGTGTTCCTGCCGCTCCCCGCACCCATCCCAAGCGGCGTAGAGCCCGGCACCCATCTCAAGCGGCGTAGAGCCCCGCACCCATCCGAAGCGGCGTAGAGGCCCCGGAGGCCAGCCTGCCCTGCCCGCTCCTCCCGCGGGAGACACGCTGTCCTGGTGACAGCTTCGAGGCCACCGCTCCCTGCCCCATTGAGCCGCCGCAGTCCGAGCCACGTGACGGACGAGGGGTCCCACACCCAGCTGCCGGCGGCTCCCGGACGCTGGAGGGAAGGGGGTCAGCCATTCCCCCGTCCCGGACACAGCCCGGCTGACTGAAACCGGGGTCAAGGCCCACCCCCGCGGGAGGGGAAGGGGCGTGAAGAGCGCAGGCTGGCGCCAGCCCCGGAGGTTGCCGCCACGGTGGGGTACGGCTCGTGGTGGAAGCCTCGTGGGAGCCCGCCTTCTGAGCTCGCTCCCGACCGAGCTCTGCGGACGTCAGCCGGCCAGATCACCACATGCCTGTTTCCCACGCCTGCTTCGGCTGATGTGTTGATTGTGTGATGGGATCACGCCGCTGATGTGTTGATTGTATGGTGGGATCACGCTGCTCACAGGCGAGGCCTGCTTACCGGCACTGATCGACCGCCTGCTGGCAACGGCATTGCTGCTCGCGAGACTTGTTAAATATACCGCGAGCGGTACATTCAAGTTCTGCATAAATAAGCATGTATTGATGTAACTGTCCGACACGTAAAACGTTATTATTAAGCGATGTATTCATCTCAGATGGGCATGCGTGAAAGTCTCGCTGCTGAGCTCGCGGCGCATTGTAGGCACAAAGAGTTGCGGCTGCTCCTGGGTGTGCTTATTTCCTCTCTTTTATGCTACCCGACGTAATTAGCGGCGATTACACGACCGCACATTACGACGCTAGAGGCGTCTAATCAAAATCGATCAACCCCTTATTAAAAAGCTTTAAATGCTTCGAAGCGGGCTGGTCAATGATCACCTGCTACATGTCACCCCTGAGTCTTCTCTCTATTAGTCTCAGCTGTCCCGCCTGTGGCCCTGCCTGAGTTCGTCAAATCTGTGGTAAGTTTTGGAGCCTTGGCGATCCCGTGTACAAATCGGCAAAAGCCGTGGCCACGACTGCACGGCCCGAAGCCTGAAAGATATGAGTGAGAGCTGGCGCAAAATGGCCCAACACCGGCGCGACTCGGAGGAAGCGGAGGTCGTAGTTGTTCGATGTAAGGGGATACGAAGTAGACATGTGGAGGAGAAACTCCGACCTCACGTGGGAGAAGGGCTCATGACACTGGTGTATCGTTAAACAGACATGCAAACCATGCCAGCCAGCATGCTGTTGTGACACGGACCGGGGAGTCTGCGCGGCTGAGGCAGCGTCCTTGCACGCATGGTCATAGTGGCTCGCAGGAGCAAATCCAGCCATTGTTTTGCGTCAGAAACCTGCCTTGAAACACTACAAGAAGCCGACTCTGCACGAGACCAAGCTGCGCTGAACCGATAGCAAATAAATCAGGCGACGATCTTGATGGCATATAGATGGCGAGATCACTGCAGGGGAGATGGACCCATTTTGTCTTAATACCCTGTCCGTGTTCATACGGCTGCAGGGGAGACCGACCCGCCTGGCCTCATCACCCTGCCCGTGTCCATACGGCTACAGGAGAGGCCGATCCACCCGGCCTCCGTGTCCATACGACTGCAGGGGAGGCCGACCCGCGTAGTACCGGCAGCTGGTCCGTTCACCCGTGAAATGCCGACGCCGCCGGCTCGCGGAAGGCCGGCATTGTGCGGGCCGTGTTGTGATTGGTGGCTGCCCTGCAGGTGGCGAGCGTAAACAAGCCGCCAGGTCGGAGAGGGAGGCGCCGGTGACGGGCACGGAGGGGTCACCCTAGGGCAGGGAGGCGCGACGAGAGACTGTGGGGCATGGGCGAGCGGGTGACATTCAGGACGCTAGGTCACATTCCGGACGCTGGGTGCCGGTGAGACAGTGTCTGCTTCCTCGCCTGACTGCCTGGGAGAACCCAATTGTTTACCTCAAATCAGCTTCGCTCCAGTCCAGGGCCGTAGTGAGAAACCGTCCGGCAGGACCTAGCTAAGGCTCCCACCAGGCGGAGTAGCCGCAAGTAGGTTATTGAGGTTTAGTCTGCTCTGTTGCCATTTCATCATAACCGACATCACAATTGCATCACAGGAGAGGCCGATCCACCCGTCAATCACGGGTTTTCACGTCAATCACGTCAACTCAAGTCAATCACGCCTTTATTTGGATGCTTCAAATATATTATTTTGACTATCTTGTGAACTTTTTCCGGTTAGCAAGAGACAGACTTGGCTCTTAACTTTACGAAAATGTAAGCCAAAATGCAGCAATGCAATTTCTGTCAGTGGGATATTGCTGGCTGTGATATGTTAGACGTCCCAGCATGACGCATGAAAGACAAGCATGCTTCAACCACGACCATCAAAGTCACGGAAAAATTATTCAGCGGTGCATCTTCGCTAAAGTACTGGAGAATCCTTCTGTAATGCAGTACTGCAGAACCCCACGTGAATTCAAACCGGCGTACGTCTGGTCACGTGCCGCTGCGGGGCCGGTGTTTCGGCCGCGGGCCGGCCACATCATCCTTCTGACCTACGTCTGGTCACATGCCGCTGCGAGGTCGGTGTTTCGGCAGTGGGTCGGCCACATCATCGTACGTGTGATCACGTGCCGCTGCGAGGTCCGGTGTTTCGGCCAGCGGGTCGGCCACATCATCCCTCTGACGTACGTGTGATCACGTGCCGCTGCGAGGTCGATGTTTCGGCCGCGGGATCGGCCACATCATCCTTCTGACGTATGTGTGATCACGTGCCGCTGCGAGGTCGGTGTTTCGGCAGTGGGTCGGCCACATCATCGTATGCGTGATCACGTGCCGCTGCGAGGCCGGTGTTTCGGCTGCGGGTCGGCCACCTCATCCCTCTGACGCGGCAATGGCGCATGGAACTTCCGTCCCCTCCCACACGCGCGCAAGTTCTGCGCGCCCTGACAGCCGTACGCGGGGCGGAGCGTCTGGCCTAGTTTCCGCGTGCTCCGGCCCAGTCATCACGAGCCGGCGCACTGAGTCCGACATCGCCGCAGCTCACCTGTGACGTCGCAGATAAACGCCAGGATGCAGGCTCGATGGAGCATCCATGTTCCGTCACGCGGTCGCACATCTGCGAAGCTTAGGGCCAGGAATATAACGCGCTGAAATAGACATTTCATCCTGCACCTACATTCCTGGAAAGACAGACGTCAGCTGACAAGGCCAGGTGATTTGAGGCTGCTTTGCGGCGGCGTGAGATCCGAGCATGAGCGCACACTACCTCGCCGCGCTCCCATTATCGCGCGCTGGGGCGTCAGGTGAGCGCCATCCACTGTTCTTGGAACGTGGCTTCCCCGAAGTGCGACGTGCGTTCCTCCGCAGCCCCCTTTGCGGCCGAGAATTCCGCGCCGTTACGTCACATGCCGAAGCAGCCCTCCGCGCGCCATTTAGCGCGACTGAGCGTCCCCCCCCCCCTTCCCATTACTCCCACTCACCCTCCCACCGGCCGGTTGGCCGGCTGGCCGGTGGGCGAGCTGCTAATGGGAACGCGAGGGACGGCCGGGCAATAAACACCTGGCCATTGAAGGTGGTGTCCGCCCGCCCTCCCCCTCCCCCTTCTCCCCCGTCCCAGCAGGGGTCTCGGCAGCCGTGTCCGGGGGCCGACAATAGCTGGGGAGATTGGCGTGACGGGGGGGGGGGGGGAGGGGGGCAGAGTGACCCGACGCTGGGAGTTGGCGGTCTGTCAGCCGGGCCAGCCAGCGCAGACAGCTCCGCTCCGCTCCTGTAATGGACTGGAGAGACGGCCTGCAGGCTGGAGAGAAGACCACTGTTTTTAGTGGTCTGAGGGAAGAAGACCACGCTTCACTAAGATAACCGCTCTGAAATTTACGCGGTGGAGTAGGAGGCCGTGGATCTGGAGAGGGCTGGTGGACTGGAAGGGGGGGGGGGGGTGACCTAAAGACTAGGGAAGAGGGTGTCAGTCCGGGAGGCTGCCAAAATGCAGAAGGCCGAGGAGGTTGGCAGTCGGGAGAAAATCGCAGCCTGAGGCTAGCAACCAGGGAAGGACTCTGACAGCCTTGGAAAAAGGTTGCCTTGGAAAAAGGAGGTTGGTGACCTAGAGAGAAGGCTGGCAGTCTGGGGAGGATGCTGGTAGTGTGGGGAGGAGATCCTGAAGTGCAGTTTCAGATACAAATATGATCACCACCATATCTGGAGTGAGGTACTACTTTTCACTGTTTTGAACGTATTTTATGTCTGAAATTATACCGAAGACAAGTTCCTTATTGCGAAATTACACCAAGAAAAGTTCCTTGTTGCATGCTCTTAGTGATCCAGGTCGGCTCCTATGGCTATGTCGTCATTCTTAGCGCCGTGCAGTTATTATTGGGTATTGCAATCTCCCTCAAGGTTTGCGGATTTCCTTGTATTTAGAGCGGGTGTTATCTTTGCTTAATTCAGCCGACGGATCAGCTTCGTGATAGTGGTGACTCTCTCTCGCACGTACACCACAGAGTCCCAACATCAGCGGTACACGGAGGAAGCGTGTCCCCCCCCCCCCCCCCCCCCCCCCCCCCGCCCTCCAGCTGACAGCACACACGGTCTTCAGCTTCAGGCGGACGTGTGTAATCCCAATAATAATACAATAATAAAACGCCAGCCAGCCGCGGCCGGTTACCAAAGCGCTGCAAAAATCCGGAGCCTCGATCGTGGCATGAAGAGCGCGGAAACAGGACTACACCTCGGACAGACAGGATAATCTCCGGCCGGCATGCATGCGGCACCACGGTCGCCGCCCCTTCACAGCGACACGCCCGAGCCGGTGGCACGCTCCGCCGACCTTGGCCGGGTCCGAACCTCAGCGGCGCACGTGGCCGTTGTGCATCGCTGCCGGCGGCGGGCGCAGTCGGCTCTTGGCGCTGTATCGCGTGTAGATCGGGTATCGGGAGCTCCGGGACACGACACGGTGTCGGCGCCCTTCAGCGCCGGCCACTTTTGCCGTACACAGAACTCTGCGGCAGACATTTGAAGCGCGCCATGATTGGCACATAAACACCGGCTAATGAGTTTCGTGTTGCTGTCGCAGTCGCGCTCAGGGGATTGAGGCTACGCCGAGAAAGCTTTCCAATGATGCGATCTCTGGAACCCGGAGACAATTGCGATCTTTGTAGCTCGTCTCTCAACCGTGACCAGTGCACGTTTCGAAAGGCGGTTCCTTTGCGGGAGCCGAAATGCCGGCAAATCGCTGGCTCTGGCAGGTCGGCTCCATCCGCTGCTGGGTGAGCACGCACCACCGATATCACCGCTGCTTTAGGGGGTGAGTGACAGTGTCTGGGCCTCCCTGGGACATGACCCATGACCCCTTGCCGACCAAGGACCCGTGACCCCCTACCGACCAGTGACCCATGACCCCGTACCGACCAGTGGACAGTGACTATTGACCCGAGCTGACCAATGAGCCGTAACCATTGACTCCGCGCCGACCAGTGACCATTGACCCCATGCCAGCCTGTGACCCCGCACAGATCAATGGCCCCGGCTCAGCACGACGACGCAGTTGGGCTCCCCGCACGACCTCGGCCGGTCTGTCACCCGCCAATAAGCGCGACGCGTCAGTTCATTATTTTTATTTCTGATTGGGCCTGTCAGTCGGGTGAGGCGGGCTCGGGACATCTGACGGGCGCCGGCGACGGAGCGCCGCCGGCCCTTCACCAGGTCACGGCGGTCTGTCAGCCGGGCCGGGGCGGCGTGCCGGGCCCGTCAGCGTTTCGGGTGGATTCGCTCGGATGATTCAGAAGAAGCTCTCGACGAGCCAGTCAGGGTTGGTGGACTGTCAGCCCCGTTTGTGACCGCGATGTAAAACCAATGTGAGTTTCAATGTCTTCGTAGATGATCTTGTTCGCCGCCTCGGACATGGAGCATGCTGAAACTTTAACTGTTTATACAAGCGCGACTTGGGACACAGAGGAGGCGACGTTTCCCAGTCAGTCAGTCCCAGTCTCGCTATTCTGTGTTTGGAGCTTCGTATGTCCACTTCGATTCACGCTTACGCTTACATAGGCAGTCTTTCGAAAACAGCACGTCATGTCGTGAAATGCGACCTTACATGGGGATAGCGGGAAGGCGCCATGACCAGCAACTGGCGCGTTATTCTATTCTGTCTTTCATTTGTCGACACGTCCTCACTCTCAACCAAGCGATGTTTGCGTCCCTGTACGCGCTCCGTTGAACGCCTTACCAGGTTGAAAAATATCATGTCTCATTCCCTGGCTCGTTCATTGATCTGTTCTTCTGCTAGCTCCGCCTTCCATCACTTGCTGTGGACCCTTCGCACGCGCGGTGCACCGCTGCCAAACCGGGCAGATACATGCAAGGACAGCCCGCGCTATGGCTCGGCTCCACACACGGCACACCTGAGCGGCCGACCCTTCGTGGCCGGAGAGGACATCCCATGTTCTCGGACTCCGTGCGGGTGTCAACAGTCTATTTATTGCCGCGTGCAACGTCTACCGGAAACATTCTGCTGTAGCGGCTTCTCACGCCGGTGAGCGAAGGAGAACGAGGCGCGCGCCGAGCAGGCAGCGCGGGCGCCAGCACCGCTGGGGGAGGGGGAGGGGGGACGTGAATCGCTTTGCGTTGGGCTGCCGATGGTGGTGGTGTGCCTGGGCTGGGGCGCTGCTGGGCAGGGGAACACCCGAGGAAGGTGTGAGTGATGTCGTATTTATGTACAGAGGTGGTCACGATTTTACCAGGACCGGTTGGTAGTCCAACACAACACCAACATTGAGACGTACGCCGGCCGGGCGCGCGGTGATCGGTAGCAGAGGGGGCTTGAAGTGTGATCGATCACAACCCGCCTTGTGTGTGTGTGTTTTTTTTTTGTTAGTATAGCTCAATGAGTTTGTACCACCGCAGCGCTGCCTTTTAACCGGTTAGGGACAAGAGCTGCATCCGACAGTGGACATCCACATGCGGTGTTGCATCTGGCCCTTAGATACTTCACTGTCATGTTGTCATATATATATATATATATATATATATATATATATATATATATACCTTTTCTTGCTGCGATGAGACCTGTGATGTGACAAGTGTGTCCGCGGACACAGCCTTCTACGGACGTCAGCGTTAAGTTTTGCTCACGTCCTGTTGTTCCATCCTTCTATTATAAGATTTCATGCCGTCAACCTTCTGTGTAAGATTTTTCAACACGCTGCCTCTGTTGGAGAGACAACGCATTGTTTCAACAATGTTTGTGGCCAGCCTGGACCCCAATGGTGGATCCAGGATCCCATAAAGTTACATGTTAATGGGATCCCGCGATCTACGCGGGGCTTCAGGCCCATGTCTGCATGTGGCTGTTGTAGCTGTGAATGTTGCGCCTCCTGTTCCAGATGCCCGGCGATGGACACTCTTCAGCCGACAGCCGACATCGACCCCATGACCGCAAGGTCACGGAGCGGACACATCGCCGAAAGGTAGCTGGGTGACCAAACGCGTATTGCCCATAACCAGGGGGGGGGGGGGGCGGCGGACATTTGGGAAGGGCTCTATTACACCAGTTATGGTTAACCGCTAAGAATTTACGTTGTTTTGATCGGGCGGCCACTTTGTCCGGTTCATATGGTTTTGCAGCTAACGAAAGAGAATAGCATTGGCACATACAATGCATGCTCACCAGCACCATGTGCGTGTATGTGCGCACGGATCACGTGGAAGAAAACCCTACCTGAGGCGGGCAGGTTCGCCGCCACTGTAGCCGCCCTTGGCCCGCCGCTCGGTCGGGACAGCGGCCACCAGCTGCACTTGCCTGGTTTGCCAGCGTTATTAAATGCGGGGAGAATGTGTAGGCCGGAGTCACTGCCGCAGTAGTAGCGTGCTTAGCTCAGGTGATCGATCGTCTCGCTCCATCGCTCTGTAGAAGAGGTGGTGAGGGGGTCCTGCGAGAAGCAGACTTGTTTGGCTTATACGACTCAGAAAAAAAACTGTAAGGTCGACTGTGAGATGGTGAGCAGTATGCTCGTGGCACAGAGCTGTGGGCTACTTGTTGGCCCACTTGAATGAGCGCATGGTGACGTCAGGGTTTAATGCAGTTTAATATTATACCCATATCCCATTCGAAGGTCTTTCCCATCTCGAGCTGTCGCTGGACGCGCCTCTGACCTTGAACTCTGACTGACCGCGACCTCCGCTGCAGGGCGGTCTTCTGCCGCCGCCGGCCGACACGTGGCGGGCGTTCATTCGCCACTCGGAGGACGTGGAGCGGCGCGCGCGCAGGCGGAGGAAGCAGCGGCGGCGGGGCGGCGCTGGCGAGCTGCCGCTGCCGACGCGACGCGGCCCGCCAGGTCCGCCCGGGCCCCCCGGCCCGCCCGGTGCCGTCGTCACCCAGGAGCTGCTCGTCAGCGAACTCCGTCAGATGATCCAGGGTCAGTGGCGGGCAGAGGCGCCGCCGAGTGTTCCGTTGCAGTCAGCGCGGAGATTACAAGAGACTGAAACGGGAGGCGTCGCTTCCGCCGCAGTTGCATGCTCGAAAGTATAATCGGAGGCCTGTTCATAAGAAATGTCGAAGGTTCCAGCCACGCCTTGCTAAAAAAGCAGTGCTTATTGCAAAACTGTCGAAACGTTTGCTTTAAAACCCACTAGTCGCCGCATGGTGCAAAGATGCCATATTCATATTTTTACTTCGGTTTTACTCTGGTAGAAAATGTGATGTAATGCCAACATCTCCTGAACGATTTTTCCACACTAGATTTGCTTTCCTCAGAGGCAGCGGGAGAGCATTTAAACAGTTTACTTCATGCTGCCAACGAAACTGGTTCCGAGAAGAGCCGCAAGGCGGCGACACCATCGCTATTCCAGTTGGAAGAGGTGGCGGTAGTGTCCAGAGTGCAGTCAGCCTTCCACGTACGGTTGGCTGAGAAGGTGGTGGTTCCGCCAAAGATGTTCGTGGAACTGAGCAAGTACCAGCTGGTAAGTAGCGACGTGTCTATTCGAAGCTTCTGAACGTTCTTCTTGAAGTTTTTTCATGAATTCCCATGACCTTTGAGGAACGTTGCAGCTTCAGTATTGCAAATGTGGAACACGCGTCCATTGCCGCTCGTACCCCCCCCCCCCCCCCAATGATCGTTCACACGGAAGCATGAGAATCTCAACGATTCGTGACCATTTCCCAACCTATCATGACCTACCGCGAAGCTGTGTGATCTGTGAATAGACATCCTCGGTAAGGCACTTCAACCTCGGCCACCAAACCAACAAAGTTGCATCAAAATAACTACGGCTCACCCAAACAGCAGGCCTGTATAGGACCAGCCACGACCCGCGGCCAGCCGTCCCCCCGGCCTGCGCTGATCCCCTTCCCCCCCCCCCCCCTGCGGCAGCCGTTCGGCGGCGGCGCGTTCCAGCGTGGCGCCGGCCTGGACCTGGAGACGGGCCGGTTCCGCGCGCCCGAGGACGGCGTGTACCAGCTGTCGGCGCAGATCTTCCTGCGCCAGCACTCGGGCAAGGCGACGCGCCATCGGGCGCGGCCGGCCGGCAAGGCCAAGGGCCGCCACAAGCCGCAGCATAAGCTCCTGCGCGTCCTCGTCTGCATTGACTCGCGCTGTAAGCGCAACACGTGAGTGGCTGAGGAGCGGTGGCAAGGCTGGCGGAGATGGATCTGTGGCGATGCACGTCGCGTTATATGGCACAGGGGAGGGGAGGGGGTGTAATGAGTTTTTACGTCTGGGGTATGGTATGGGCCGAAAGAATGTGCTTAAAAAACGGAAAACATTATTCAAGAGTCATCGATTTCTTACGTGGTAAGTGTAACCCATTCGGTCATTCTCGATCTACGTGAGTTTCATTGCCGACGACTTAGGGGGAATTCGTTTAATCATGCGCTGCAGCAGCGGCTACCGCTTCCTCGACGACACGGACGTCCTGGCTCTGCTTGCGACCCACATTAACCGCACCAGGCGACCGTCGCTGTCGCTGGCCGCAGACGCCTGCGACAGATTCATCCGACGCTTTCACCATCGTGTCTGCTTCCACGCAACGCCTCGGTGACGCCCTAACGCCGCCAATACCACCACTCGCCTCCCCGTGACCGCGGACTCTTACCCGGTCTGACGTGCCCCCTGCCGGCAGCTCCCTGCAGTACATCTCCAGCGTGGGTACGGCGCCGCACTTCTTCACCGCCAGCCTGCACGGCGTGCTCGAGCTCAGCAAGGGCCAGTACGCCTCCGTGCACGTGGACAACGCGTCGCGCGCGCGCGTGGTGGCGCTCAAGGGCAGCCAGTTCTCGGGCGCCATGCTCGGTCGCTGACCCGCCGCCGGCGTGCCGCGACCGACCGACCGACCGACCCAGCGCGCTCCACTCGGCACGCGACGAGTCTCCGCGGCCACGGGCAGCGCGCCGCGGGGCGGCGGGCGTCTGAGGGCTGGGCCGGGCGGCTCTGCGAGACGCACAGAGTAGAGCGGCGGCGGCCGCGGCTGGACGACTCCGCCCGGCAGGCATGGCCGCGGTGGTGGCTCGTGTGGGGACGCGTGGCGGCGAGCGCGCCGCGCCGCGGACCCCGACCCTCCCCAGCGCTGCAGACGACTGGCCGGCCGGCAGATCTCGTCGGGCAGCGGCGAGCCGGACGGGCGGACTGGAGCACGTGATTCCTGCGGCTCGACTCGCCGCCGTCACCGCCGAGTCGCCAACCGTGCGGCCGCGGTCGGCTGGCAGTCCCACAGCCGACCTCAGGTCAGCTGCTGCGTTCCGCCGGCGTGACTTGTATCGTACCGATATCCTCGCACTCAATACAGATCGTAGGTTTCTTACATTGCGGAGATCTCTCAGCGCGACGTCACAGACAGTAACACAGTGGCTCAGCACTGCTATGCAGTGAATGTTTATTGTTCCGAGCACTTCGGCCCTCAGCTTAACTAGCAATAATCATCGTCGCCTAAAGTCGTACGAAACGGATCCTTGGAACAGCGGTATGCCAGACCCCGGTCGAGGCCCTGACGCGCTTTGGTAAACCAACAGAATCGTGCAGAAAACTGACATACAATACGACGGTAAACAGATCAGCTGGTCACGCACATTCCTGCGGAACATTTCTGGAGCCGCATCGCGCACAGGCTGGTGGCACAACAGGAGCATGTTCCGGCTCCATAGCCGACGTACCACCCACGAGCAAAGCGAGCCTCCCACGCGGCAAGAAGTCAAGCAAAACGCTGCGCAAGAGCACCCTTCCCCAGAAATAAACTACAGCTCTAGACCGGCGCGCCGGTCGAGACATCGCCACCTACAGACAGTCGGGAAGGCTTCATCAGCGAGTACTGCGACCGGCGGCGCCACGCGGCGGTTAGCGCGTGAACCACACACCTCTCCACGCATCGCCGAGCGGTGGTCGGCACGGAGAGCGCCCGCACCACTCCACGAGGGAGGAACAAATCTCCAGCGACGCACTGGCCCGCTGCGCACAACCCTCCACACCGGAAAACAATGGGCGCGCTTCAGATCAGCGCCGTCTCCCTTCCGCCGGGAGTCTGCCTCCCCGCCTCCCCGCCCGCGGCACCGGCCGGTCCTACCGCGTCAGCGTGGCGTCGATCTGCGTCAGGGTCGGCAGCGCCATCTTCAGCTTGCGCCGGTAGTTGACGTCCTGCGCCAGCGGGTTGCGCTCCAGGTACACCGTCTGCAGCTGCTTGGCGCCATTCAGCTGCGCCAGGTCGACCCAGTCCGACACTTGGTTGTCGTTGCACTGCCAGGGAGGGGCGTGGAGGTTGACTCGTGCGAGCTCGCTGGCGTGCGTCAAGTGCAAGCATACACGTAACACACACACACACAGTTATCTGCCGAAATTGTTGCACGCTTTGATCTCACAAAGCCATCTGCCCTTGGGAGCGCTGGTCCCTCCCTCTCCCTCTCTCGCGGCCCATGCACAGCGGCAGTGGCGGACGCGTCCAAGCCCGAACGGCACGCACCGAGAACAGCCCACACTCGGGTGGCGCACGCGGGCTGAGCGGCACGTCCAAACCTCCCCAGCTCGGACGGCACGCGCCGAGAACAGCCCACACTCGGGTGGCGCACGCGGGCTAAGCGGCACGTCCAAACCTCCCCAGCTCGGACGGCACGCACCGAGAACAGCCCACACTCGAGTGGCACACGCGGGCCGAGCGGCACGTCCAAACCTCCCCAGCCCGCACGGCATGCACCGAGAACAGCCCACACTCGGGTGGCGCACGCGGGCTGAGCAGCACGCCCAAACCTCCCCAGCTCGGGTGGCACGCACCGAGAACAACTCATACTCGGGTGGCGCACGCGGGCTGACCGGCCCATATGCCGTCAACCCGCGCAGGCCACGTCCACAGCGCCGCCGGTGGCTCGGACGTCACGTACCCAGAACTCCTCCAGCTCCGTGAGATGCGCCATGTTCTCCAGCTTGGCGATGCGGTTGGAGGCGAGGTCGAGCGTGTTCAGCTGCGGGTTACCTTCCAGACCGTCGATCTGGCTGATGCCGTTGTGTGAGAGGTACAGCTGCTCCAGCTGGGCCAGCTGCTGCAGACCCTCCATCACCGTGATGCGGTCACTCTGGCGGCGGGCGGGGGCGGCGTCGGACACGACGCACCAGCGCACCGACACACCAGCAGCAGCAGGGAAACGTAACGACGGAGGGCAGACGGCACACTCGGCAGCCACCGACAGCCACTCGACGACGAACACGCCGCAATAGCGCTAAGTTTCGTCGCAAACCACCACGCTGCGCGCTGTAGTCATCAGGGACAAGCGTGCCGCAACACGGGATTCGTTTTCGTGCTAAAAAACGAACTTGCGTGGAGCGCCCTCACCACCCGTAAATCATAACGAATATGACACGACAGCACCCCGACTCATGCTTCCCCATGGCACGATGCCCGAGCGGCCGGCCGTCACAAGTACCGCCAAGGGACGCCAGGCACGGCCCAGTCACAACAGTCGAGGTGATGGAAAGCCCCAAAACCACCGCCATCACGGCGGCGCGCTGTAAACTCCATCGTCGGCTCAGCGGGCTCGTCTCCGGGAGAACGGGACCATGTGACTCACGAGCCGGGCCAACCAAACTGTCTGAGGCGGCTCCAACGGCCAGGCCAAGCTCCATCTCCACGTCCTCTCCCCATTTAGTTTAACTGTTCCCTGTTATTGCTGGTGTTTCGTGGCGTTCGTTCACTGAAATCATTGCCAGAGCGCTGCGCTCGAAACGCTACGGAAAGCGGCAGGAGCGACGAAACACCAAGCGGCTCGCCGCCTTGTTCCGCCTATCGTTGGCCCATAACATACTGGGAGCCAACCCCGTCCCCCGAATGTACTCGGCGCACCTGAACCGTTCACCCGCCGGTGAGTTCATTCCGTAACCACCGCGATGCTACAGCCGGAGACGGCCATCGAGACTGGCTGGCCAGCCCCTCGCCGCATGATTTTTGGGACAAGCACAGCCGCTGAGCCGGGCAGACGAGTCAGGGCAGTCCCTCGGCCGGCGGTCCCTCACCTGAAGGCTGAGCACCCGCAGCTTGGTCAGCTTGTCAAGGTTCTCGATCTTGTTGATCTTGTTCTTGCCCAGGTACAAGCTGGTCAGGTTCGTCAGGCTGTCCAGGTTGGCGATTTTCTGTTGGGAGCACGGACCTCTCATCTTTCCACCCTGACAGGTGGAGATTCAGCGCCTCGGCAGCATGAAAAACAGCGAGCACTTCAATCGCCTTCACGAGTGCCCAGATGAAAGTTGCACCCCCACTTTGAAACAAGGCATTGGGACATTTCCCTTCAGACCTCTTTTGCATAGCCTCGACGACCACATTGCAGCAAGACGCATCCTTCGTACCATCGGTGACCCCATGCACATCCCATCACAAGTCACGATGCCACATAACAGCATGACACCACAGTGACTCACGCGAATTTTGTTGTCTCCCAGCTCCAGCATTTCCAAGGCCTGCAAGCCCTCCAGGTTCTCGATGACCTGTATTTTGTTCATGCAGAGGAACAGCTTCTTCAGGTTGGTGAGGTGCGACAGGTTTTCAATGGTCGTGATGCGGTTGACCGAGAGATCGAGCTCCCTGGCGGGCGAAAGGTGCGTTGCATCACACCTGCATGTCAGCAAGGGCATTATACAAGACACGCTCCAAATAACAACAGTTCCCCCACAGCGATGCTCCCCCTCTCCAGTTTCTCTCCAACCAAAGGCGACCCCCTCTTCCAATGCTCCTCAAGCCAAACGCAACTCTCTCCCCCAATTCTTCCCAAGCCAACAGCGAACCCACCTCCCAATTCTCCCCGAGCCAAAAGCGACGGCACGCCTCCAATCCGACTTTCTGCGCGGACTAGATGGCCGCTCCACAGCCGTCGCCTTCGGCGGCTGTGGGGCGGCCGCCAGCCTCCGCCCGGGCCGCCGGCCGACTCACTCCAGATTGACCAGCGCTTCGAGGCCTTCGATCTTGGTCAGCTGGTTGTCGTAGAGGTCGAGCTCGGTGAGGCACGGCAACGCGCCGAGGCCTTCGATGCGCGTCAGCAGGTTCCAGCGCAGGCAGAGCGTCTCGAGGCGCGGGCAGTCCTGCAGGTTCTCGATCCGGCTGATCCGCTGGTGGTTCAGGTCGATGTCCTGCGGCGCACCGGCGCCGTTTACTCGCGGCTGGACAGGGGACGCCAGCTGACAGGTCCCACTGTCTACAGGGGTGTGCTTGGCCAACAAACTGACTCCTCTCAAATGTTTCAAGGGCATTTCACGCACTTATAGCCATCTAGGGAGAATGGCAAGAAGTGTAACACTTACATTACCTCCTATGTACACAATTACCACCTGAAGATATTGCTGGCATTGCAGGTATCCTTGAAAACTTGGCAAACTTGGATTATCAAAGCATGCACAAGAAACTGGAACTGAATGTGACACCACCATCAACATTTTGGTGGAGTCAAACCAAAACCAATAAGTGCACCATGCAAGAGATAAAACTGACTAATAAGAACTGCCATGATCACACTGCAATGTTTGTCTTATGAGTTGTCTACCTCGCCACTACCATAATGTGCTAAGTGAATGAAAAGTTAGGAGACAACTATATTTGTAATGCAACAAACCAATGTGTCAGCATCCCAGGTAAAGGTCTTCATGTCTCCAAGTTCTCCTTTGTCTTCAGCCTTCTCCAGGTCTAAAAGAAGGAGGTTTAACATCTGGTAGAGGTGGTAACAAATATGTCACAATGTAATGCACATTTCTGTTCTGTGATAGTCCATGGATGTACTGTTGGACCACTGGACTGCCTGAACATACTTTAGAGCCTCACTGTGTTCTGATGTATGCTCCCAAATCACATTGGTGAATGCATAGGTGCAATGAGCAAAATGAAGATGAAAATATTGCATGCCTTCAAAACCTGTCACTGTAGGCAAAGCAGAAGGAAAATAGCACCAGACAATGCATGTTGTTGCAGCATAAATACAAACCACACAAGGTGGGAGAGCAAAACATTCTAACTTATAACATGTTGAACATGGCTCCTTAAGTGATGAAGGCTGCAGCAGCACTATTGCTGCATATAACTATTTATAATCTAGTTTGGAGTGATGAAAAATCCTTTTCCTCATTAAAAAAGTTAAGGACTTCATGTTTAGTCAACAATTGTATACTGAGAGCTAGCTGACATTTCACATTTCTTCTTTTTGTCAATATCTTTAAAGGCAATGTTCAATTTTCAGGAAGCTCCACCCTAGTTCCTGCACCACCAACCATTACTGTAGTACTGAGCCATCTGCTCATGTTTCACCATACCACGACTACTATAGATGTTGTCTTTCATTGAAAGTACTATATGTGAAAGGACAATGTAAAATTATACATATGGAGGCACTATACAAAACCATTCTATTAAGTGCAACCTTGTCTGTGCAACCTTATCTGAAGAACTCCCTCATTTTTAGCTGAAGAGAAGCATGACACATGAGAAATATAACAACTTACCCATCTCCTCTTCACTGGAAGTGCTAACAACATCCTGGTCTGGAAAGCAAGAGCACACATAAAATATCCAAATGACCTGATGAAAAACATGTCCCAAACCTACCAAAGCTCTGCCAAATGGCTTGAACAGAGAATGTGCCTTTCAAATGAAATACCTCTTGTAAAAGATTGAGTTGATACAAGCTTGTCAAAAAAGTTTAGAGCAGTTTACACACTCAAAATGCTTACCTGGCATAGCTGCCACTTGTTGATTTACAGAAGAAATTTGACAAAACTGCAATGAAAAGGGGTGATGTTAGTTATTGAATAGGTTTACAAGGATGGCCAAGGATGATGTCTTCCATAACTTCCTTTATATTTTTCTTCTTCAAGAGCGGCACTCTTAGGCCCGAAGCCTGACTCAGACACTACACCTTTCATCGTCCGTTGGCGCAAAGTCCAGCAGTGTTCCATGTCAGCGCTACAGCAAATTGCACGCCCATTTACCCGGAACCGCATTTCACGAACTCTTATTGACAATCAACAAGAACAAACAGGTTATCTGTATAAACTGGCCATTGTCACCATACATGCAAAACTCACCCAGCTACACAAATAAGAAAACGGGTATGCGCAAATTCAAACGCATGCAATCAATAACCAAACGGGACTGTTGAGGCACCCACCCTTTACCCTTATCCGTCTACGACTGGGGCGGTAACCCCTTGCGGCGAATACGCCGCGTTTCGTCCAGGTTATAGCATTATAAATATGTTGACCTTGGACGACTGGTGACGTCAGCCTTATTCCTGCGATGCATTAAGCCGTCCATAACTTACGTTGTGCACGAAAGAGGAGTCCATCTGATTGAGCGTAACGGCAGTGTAACAAGGGAGGTTTTAGGCAACGTAACGATATGGTTGTGTGTGGCTGCAAATAATGCTAAAATCTCTCAAAACAAGTGAAACCTTAAAGCCCGATGTAGAATGGCAATGGACGAACCCACATTCTTGCGCCTCTAGTTCAATAAGAGACGAAACGGACGGTACTTTTCAAAACGTTACACTTAGCTCAGCGTAACCAGGGGAAGCGGAGGGGTCGCCCGGCGTAGCCAGTGAGAACCAGGGGAGGAAAATGATACGAGATATGCAGCGTAATGAATAGGTCGCTGAAAATGCGGGCATCTTCTGATGATAATTATGTGAGCTTAGTAGCAAACTGAAAGACAGGTGTGGAAAAGTTAGACAGCCACGCGGTCATTCACAATATCGCGAACAATGTTAGTATTGGAGCATGGGGCCAGAACGGGAGCGCAGGTTGGAACATCCTTTGTGACAGCAATTTTCCGTTCTGAGAGCTCGGTTGGTTTGAGCGAATGCCTGCCAGTCCACCCGCCGCTGCCTAGCAGGATGTGTTGGGATCACTTTAGGTGCCCGATTTTTGCCCCTGACTAAGACAGCTTGCGGCCAGTGGTGTCGGCCACGCTAAAGGTCACGTTACGATGATATTTGTGTTTAAAGGCGCTTCGTCTGTCCTGGTCATTTTGAGCCCATAGCTGTTTTCATCGATTTGCATATGATGATTACCGCATGCAGGCAATCCATTCTTCTAAGATCGGGTTTTCCAGTGTCACCGTCAAGGGCTATCAAACTGGTGAGAATATGATTCGAGAACCAATTTACTTCAAAAAGCGGGCGATCGCAATGAGGACACGTTGGCGCTTGGTTTCCAGACAGGAGAAAACCTTGCGTGCCATAGACATGCCCGATACGGAGGCGACAAAGTGCTGACTTTCTCTCTTCTGCTGACCTGGTGAGAGGAATTGCCCAGTCGCCAACCGTGTCTAACTGAGCGGAGTTTATTTCCGGCGTTGCCCTGTGAGTCCACGCTAAACTGGTCCCAAAACTGTCAGTTCTTGTTTTCTCTCTCTCCCTCACTCTTGCCCTCAGACGAGACGACGGCGTCGGCTCGCGTCCGAGAACGGCGCTCGAGTGGAACGAGGTCGAGGGCCGGCTGCACCCTCCTTGGCAGCAGCATTGGCTTTCTCGTTTCCAGCCTGCCCGATGTGTCTGGACACCGAGGGAAAGACCACGTACGCACTTTCCATCACATTTAACAGCCGCCACCTGCTACAAGATCTCGTCTATTTTGACATGACCCATTGCCAGTTTTCTTTTTTTCTATTTTGTGATGAACTGAAAAGATATTGGATAGCTAAAATACTGCTCAAAAAGTCGGACAGTACTAAGAATCGCTCTTGTCGTCGTCCTTCTACAAAAGGATGAGCCAGCGCCTTGCTCATTGCACGTAGTTCAGTCGTAAATGTCGAATAGTGATGGGATGATGCAACACGCTTCGTGCAGCTTCATAAGCGACACCGCGTGCTGTACCTTTTCAGGACTCTGACCCATCTGAACATGTGTATATGTGACTGGCACTCGGTACGCACTCCAAAAAGAGCTTCATATTGAAGCTTCTCAGCAGTTTCACCAACGCACAGATGGACAGACTAGAGATAGGTGTCGGCAGTTCCCATGGTGGGCACAGAGGTGCTTAACTGGGCTGACATCCTTGTACTAATGCCCGCATCCTGCAGACTTCAGCTGACTCGGACACAAATGGGCTTAGCAGTAGTCGTTTTGTCTGTCTTGAATAGCTCAGTCGGTGGTCTGAAAAGATGCTTTAATAGGCTGGATGTGCTTTAGACTGCAGCCTTAAGCGCATGGCGCGAGCTAAGCATCTCACGACATAGACTCAATGGTGGTTTGTTCGCCTCGACCAGAAGCCTGGCGATAGGGCCGATGCGATGTGTCCCAGTAAGAGTGCGTATGTCGTCGTGGTACGCTGTGTCGAGTGCGCATTTTTGCAGAATCACACGCCAACTCGACACACCTGACATGCATACTCTAAGTTGGAGCGAATCAGCGCCTTATACGGACAGGGAGGCATCTTCCGGTTTGCCCCGAGGAATATCCTCGTATCGACCATGGGGATGTTCAGCGCTCTTGAACACCAATCTCTAAGCGTTCGAAGCTAGGTGGTGTCCGACAGCCTTCTGTCGAAAACGGTTGCTTCAGAACTTTACTCAGATGGAGTTAAAACTATCCCATAGCGTTCACGCGAAGATCTGCGCAATGTCGCTGTCTGTTGGAAGTGTATTGCGTGATTTTTGAAAGTGTAAGGGTAAAACCGTTCATAAAACACCGGTGCGTCAACTTATCTAGGCAGATCTGAATCTGCCGCGAAACCGAGGTCAATGACGATGGAGAGAACCAAATGGCGAGGTGGCCAACAAACAGCGCACGACCAACGTTGGTGGGCAGTGCGTCGCTGACATCGCTCACCGAAATGGCGAAAAATCGGACACTTGAATGCTTCCCTGAGGCACTTCATCTACTGCAGGAAAACGGTCAGAGAAGGCATTGCCCACTGTTGCCTGGAAATGGTGATCACGCAAGAATTTGGACATAAATCGACCCATGTGGCCCCGCACGCCCTATACACACAACTTAACGAGAACACCATGATGTAGGGTGGTGCCGAATGCCCTATATGCGTCAAAGAAGACAGCTAAAACATGCCGATAGGCGTTTGAATGATTCTCGCATCGCTGTGCCCAGGACAACTAAGTGGTCCAGAGTGCTTCGATTTTACCTCAACCCCATTGCAAGTCGGAGAACACGTTATTAGTCCGCTCAAAAACACAAAACTTGTGCACTGATCATCTTTCAAACAGCTTAGAAACGCGGGCCGTCAGTGAGATGGGTCGATAATGCAGGGCGTCCGTACCATTTCTGTAGGCTTTTGAAAAAGGTACGACTATTGCATTCCTCCACTGGTCCGGAAACGTATCGGTTACCAAAATGACGTTGAATTCCGATAGCAGATGCTCTAGTGAATGATCGCTGAGGTTTCTTAGCATCTCATTTATGACAGTGCCTAAACTTCGTGTACATTCGGTGTGTTGCGCGGCGCTCCCTCCTCTCTCATAGGAAATTTCGCATTACACGAGTGGTCGTTGCTTGAACCGAAGTCTACAAGGCGACTCTCTCATTAAACCTTGCGCCGCGAAGACCTGGGATCGGATGACCCCAGAAGACGTCCTCACAGCATCCGTCCCAGCCCCTTAGCCACTCACTCTACTGCGTTAGTGAGTGGTGCCTCAGATAGTTACACAAAGGAAAGGACTGGACAGGCACTTTCCAGACGTCGTCTATATACGCTTCGATACCCGGGGTAATGGAGTGCAACGGCTGACGCCAGTCACATCACCTTTCCATTAACAGTGCTCAGACGCGCGCACGACCCGTCCCGCCCGTGCTCGAGCTTGCTTAAATAAATGGTTATCAGGCGTTTACGATCATCCGTAGTAGACGATTGTATGAAACGTTTAATGCCTTCTTCCAATTAAGGATGGCTGCCCTGCCCGGCTCCGAACACCAGGGCACCGGCAACCCCTGTGGAGCGCAGGACGTCAAGGGAGTTGCTGGCTGCAGCGACGAATGCTGACTCGTCGCGCGCTATCAGAGACGGGGCAGACTCTCCGACTGAGGGACGCATATCAATGTAACACCCGGCAGTGAATGCCATGCGATGCAATGCAACGCGCGCATCTGGCGCCCAGCAGTTGAAACAATGGAATATTTTTATTTTTTATTTTATTTTCCATGATCAAATAACTTAACGTTCTGTAGACATTACAATCAGGAGTTTTACTCTGATCACAGCCTCGGCCACACACCGACATCTAACGGTTAGTTCGGGCGCGGCGCGGAGCGGGCGGGCGGCGGCCCGGAGCAATGTGGCGACATCTCCACGGCCGCCGACCAACTACTCCGCACGCGCGCTCGAGACACAATCATGATGCTACAACAGAAAAATATACGGCTCACTTTACACACTAGGGAATCGAAAATATAATATTTTAGCACAGGCATTGAGCAAACTCCACTGTCAACAACTACCTTCATACTGAGGCCGCTTTCCAAATGGTAAGTTTGCCCAAAACGAACAGGAAACGTCTAAATCCAATTAGCAACTCACAGTTCAGGATCGCGATGAAGACCAATTTAACGGCAAACCAGACGGACAAATGACCTTAGTGGCCTTCAATGCAAGTCGTTTTTAATGATCTCTTGAATAGTAGCTAAAATACTGGAAACATGAATTCTTGTGAACGAGCGATGAACGTTGAGGAACAACAGACTCCTTGGACTGCAAGAGCCTCGGTCTGTCCGGCCAGCCGATAAACACGCGATCCTAAAGATGGATCTAGACAAATCGGTGAACTGCTGCAAGTTCAAGTCAATCAAAAGCGTAAAAAGGGGTGTGTCTGTGTGTGATGATGAGATATCTCTATATACAGCTATATACAGTATATACACGGGCGCAGGATCAAATTTGTACATGGCGAGATATATCCGACACAGACAAAACGGCAGGGGACCAAATCAATCCAAGCCATGATTCCACTACTAATAACAATCTACACATGTAACAACGTAGGCCGTGGACAGTCATCATTTAAGCGTACGAGGCGGGGGCCGGACCGCGCCGGCGCGAACGCGCGCGCGCGGAGGCCGGCCGGGCGACGCGCCGGCTCAGCAGGTGGCGATAACGATGACCAGGTGCGGCACCTCGGCCACGGCGCTCAGCAGGTCGGGCGCGATGCGCGCCATGTTCTCGTTGGCGAAGTCGCACGGCGGGAAGATGTGCACCACGTAGCTGCCCTGGCGACGGCGAAGGCGGCGCGCGTCAGCCGTCATCAAACTCCAGTCATATCCCAAAGGCCAGAGAGCGGCTGGCGCACGGACCCGGTTTGCATATGTAGAACGATGCGTGACTAGGCAGAGCAAAAGACCGTGTGTCGGGACCCGCACATGAACACCCATCCCGCCCGGCATCCGCGTTTGATCCGTCCGTATAAGTCTTCTCGCGATTCGAACATGATGCCGTCAGTTTACAGAGACAAGCCCATCGACAATACACCAGCCAGGTCATCAGCCGACAGGCCTTCCTCGGCAGGCGTGCGGGCGCGGCCGCCCAGCCCGCTCTGTCGCGCCGCCGTACCTGCGGACCATCGATGTTGATGATGCCGGCCGCCTGTTTCAGCTGCAGGTACGTGATGAAGGCCGTGCGCAGGGTGGAGCGTTGCGCCAGCTCCTCCGCCTGGCTGCCGCCCTCCGGGATGGCCGGCAGCGCCAGCAGCATGCAGTACTCGTCCTCGTTCTGTCAGCGGCCGCGGCGATGGCGTCAGGCACAAGCCCCGCACAGACTTGCACTCGCGGGCCAAAGTTCGGGGACCGGGAGCGGGGTCCAGGGACCGGGATCGGGACCGGGGACTGGGGTCGGGGACGAGGGACCGGGTTGGGGACGAGGACCGCGATCAGGGACGAGGGGTCGGGGAGACGGGGCGCAAGGTGACACGAGTATCACGTCGACTCTCCCAACAGGGCGCCTCCCCCTAATCCCGGTGACCGAAGCTACCCGCCGGACACGCCAGCCTAGCCTACAAGGCGCGCCACAGCCAGCGCGGACGATACGTCACTGTCGTGCTCACACATCTGCAAACCTCCGGCGCACAACCTTCCCGACAGCCGACCAGCAACGACCGGTGCCGACTGACCTCCATTTTGCGTGCGACGCCGTCCAGCTGGGCCCACTCGAGCCGCATTGCGCTTGGGGATGTGCAGGACGCGCGGCTCGGCGGTCGGCAGCGAGGCGTCGGCCACCAGCCGGCTGCCCGACACCAGCCGGAACTGCACCAGCGCGCGGTCGCTCTTCAGCTCCAGCTGGCCGGCCCACACCGACCGGTACCTGGCGGCGGCGAGCGAAGCGGCCGGTCAGGCGACAGCTGCGGCGGCGGACTCACGGGGGAGCCACGACCTTGGAAACAGGGCGGCGACGGGCGACACAGAAACAGGGCTCCAGAGCGTCACCCCCTCCCCCCCCCCCCACACATACGTCCACGCGTCCCAACTCCACTCACACGCGTGCCGCGAAGACCAACCGCACAGCAGAGCCGCATCATCGCATCGCAAACCCCCCTCACCCCGGCCAGCTTGCTAGCGGCGCAGCGCGCCCTCGCGCCACCCACCTCTGCAGCTCGACGATGTCGCGGCTGCAAGGCGACTCGAGCCGGAGCGGCGCCGCCGCCGCCGCCGCCTGCTCGTGGTAGGCCGGGTGCCAGCGGCCGCCGGTGGCGTACGGCTCGGCGCCGGCCGTCGGCGGCCGCTCCTCCTCGTCGGCCGCTTTGAGCTTCTCCTTGAGCGGCAGCGGCGGCGCGTAGCCCGGGTGCTGTAGGCCGGCGGCGCGCTGCAGAGCCATCTCGTGGAACTGCATGTAGTACGGGTACAGCTGGTGCATGTAGTGGGGCGGCAATTCGGCCGGCGAGGCGGACGACGCCAGGTGAGGCGGCAGCACGAGGCTGCCGGCGCGGCGCAGCATGTCGCTCTGCGGGCACAGAGCGCCACGAACGTCACCAACAGAGCAACGAACGGACGGACGGACGCGTGTGGGCGCCGCCGGCGGGCGACGAGCGTCATTCTGCTTACACTGCGGTGGATGACAACGATGATAGCTGGTGTTACAGGCGGTTTTCGGGGAGACCGGACGGACAGGTCGGCGCAACTTGTTAACAGCCTAGTTTGTAGAAGCCAATGATTTCAGTAAAAAGAAAACCCGCCTGATGCGCCACATGACACCTGACTCTTCCCTCCTCCCAAAGGACGGGGGAGAAGGGGCGGGCGGAGGCCGCACCTGGGAGACGACCCGCTGGTGGGCCGGCGGCGGGGTGTGCGGCGAGCCGCGGCCCGTCTCGTCCGGGTAGCTCTTCTGCAGCTCCTGGATCACGCCGTGCCGCACCGGGTGCTGCCGACGGGTCATGTCAGGTCAGGTCAGGTCAGGTCAGATCAGGTCAGGCGACCAGGCGCACCTCGGTCCTCCCGCGACACACCGCACACGCACGCCGCATCGACCCGGGGGTCCGCCGCGGACGACAGAGCGCCGCCACGCGCCACGTCAGAGCATGACCAACGAGAAACAACGGACTGAGCGGGCCGCCACAAGCCACCAAGACCACAGCACGCCTACCCATCGGCCTGCAAGCCTGCGGGCGTGCCACCACGCTTCCGCGCCATGGGCGGCCGACACGGCCAAAAAAAACCTCTTCCTCTTCCGCCGGCGTTCACCCACCATGGCGGCCGGGTCGAAGGGCCGCGGCGCCGGCGACGGCACGCTGTGGCGGCCCTGGCTGGCCGGGCTGGGTGTGCTGACGGGCGCCCACCGAGGCGCGGCCCGACACCTCCACACGCGGCGGCTCGGCCGGCGGCTCCGACGGCGCCGCGTCTCGCGTCGTCAGCGACACCGGCGTCTGCTGCCCGGCCGTCGACAGGTGCGCCGGCGGAAGCGCCGCCGCCGCCGCCGACGACGTCGATGGACCCAGCTGCCGGAGCAGAAGCACGGCGTCAAGCGCGGCGCCGGGACGGCGCTGCTATGGCTGAGCACCGCAACAGCGACACAAACCCGGTGAAAAGCTGCGAGGGCTGCCGACTGCACTGAAGACCGCTCAAGTTGCATTGGCGGAATTTCAGTTTTCTTCGCGTCCGATTCCATAACGTGCATTGGCGACTAATGGGCACACAAAATCACGACAGCAAATCACCTGAGCCAAGGCAGAAACGGAACACCATCGCCACAACAGGCGCGACGGCCGCACACAGGACCCACGAGGCCAGTGCCGTCACCCCTGCGAGGGCTCACCTTGTACGAGATGGGCTGGTCGGCGGGCAGAGCGCCGAGCCGGCGCGGCTCCACGTCAGGCTGACGGCGGCCGGTCGCGGCCGCGGGCTCTCCACCACCGACGGCCGCGTCGCCGGCGTCACCGTCGGCTTGCCTAGGTACCCGGCGGCGGCCGCTGCAGCCGCGGCCGGCGCAGCCGCCGGCTTGGTCACCGCCAGCGGCGCCGGGCCGGCCGTGGTCGGCGCCGCCTTGGCTGAGTACAGCGCCGGCGATGCAGACGTCACGGTCGGCTTGGCCGCGTACAGCGCCGGCGTCGCCGCGCTCACCGCCGCCTTCGCGACGAACATCGCCGGTGCCGACGCCGACGCCGTCACCGCCGGCTGCTTCGCGGCGAACGCGGCGGGCCCGGCCACGCTGGCCACCGCCTTGGCGGCGAACGCGGCCGGCGCCGGTGCTGAGACGACCGGTGGCTTGGCAGGATAACGCGGCCGTCACGCTCGCCGCCACCTTCGTCGCGAACGGCGCGGCGGCGGCCGGCACTGACGGGAGGCTTCGGCGCGCAAGTGCCTGCGCCGCCGGAGCTCACCACCGGCTTCACGGTGAGCACGGCCGTGCTGGCGGCGGCTGACGTCGCCGACATGGCCGGGTACAACACCGACACGGCCGCGCTGGCGGCAGCCTTGGTCGCGAACAGCGCCGGCCCACCGCCGCCCGCGGTCGACTTGGCCGGCAGCGCGCTCGGGCTGCCGGCGGCGGTGGGCGTCTTCACTGGGAACACGGACACGCTCGGGGTCGACAAGCCCGGCTTGCTGGCTAGGAAGGCGGCCGGCGCGGCCGTGGTGGTCGCGTAGCTGACCGGCGCCGGCGCCGCCTTGCCCAGGTACGCGGCGGTGGTGGTGGGCGGGGCTCCTGGCGAGGGGCGCGGCCAGCCGCGGCGCGTACAGCGCGCCTGGCAGCGCGGCTGCCGGCGTCGCAGTCAGGAGAGGCGGCCGGGCGTGCAGGTAGGTGGCGGGCACTCCCGGCCCGCGGCGCCGGCGCCTGGCACAGCGGGTGGAGGACAGCCGCCGTCGGCTGCGTCGGACGCGGCGGCGCGGCCGTCGTTCGTCGCGGCCGCTGCCGCTGGGGCGGGGACAGTCGAATGCAGCGTCGTGGCCGACGCCGGTGGCGTGCTGCGCGCCGGCTCGTCGGCGCTGTCTTCCTCCTTCAAACGGCACCATCAGGCCGGTGACCGGGTCCAGCAACGCCTGCTGCTCCTGCGGCGGCGCCGCCGGCTCGGCCGCCTCCGCTGGCGCGGTGGGCGTGGTCGGCTCGGACGCCGCCGCCGGCTCCGGCGTTGGCTTCTTCTCCTCCACGTCCGCTTCCCAGTCTTTCGGGTCGCCGAAGCGACCCTGCACCACGTCCTCGATCGTCTCGTCGATGCTGGAGCGCTTCTTCTCCTCGGGCGGCCACCTTGGCACCCGCCTTTCTGCCGCCATCGTCGTCGCCCGAGTCGTGGAACTCGTAGACGGTCGCTGGCACCGCCGCCCGCTTCTGCGCCGCGCCGCGCTTTCGACTGCGCGAGCTGGAGCTGGGCGCGGCGCGACTGCGTGGCTTCTTGGTATCTGCTGGCGGCGGTGGTGGCGGCGGCGGCGGCAGCGATGGCTGTGCCGTCGGCACACCGGCGCCGCCGGCGGCGGGGACAACGCTGGCAGTGCTGCCACCTCTTCCTTCGCCTCCTCCTTCTCGGCGACGGCAACAGCAGCCGCGGCGGCCGCGGCAGCCGCCGCCTTGCCCTTTGCGGCGCGCGGCGGCCGTCGGTTGTTGGGTCTGGCTGCGTGTGCAGCCGCCGCTGGGGTGGCGGCTGCCGGCTGTTCCGGCGCCGACTCCGTCGCCGCCGCGGCCGCTGCAGCCGCAGCGGCTGCGGCGGCCGCCGCCACGGCTGCCTTGGCACGGCTCGGCCGGGGCGCTCGCACGCGGGCAGCACGCGCTGGTGGCTTGGCCTCCACCACGGGAGCGGCCGTCCTTCTCGGCGGGCTCGGCGGCTGGGGATACCGCCGGTTCCGCCTTGGCTGGCACTGACGGCGCGGGAGGTTTCGGCGCGGGCGAGGTCGGGGCCGCCGGCACAGCGACAGCGGCAGCGGCGGCCGCTGTCGTCGCCACCGGCGACTTGACGATCACGGGGGTGACGGCCGGCGCCGGGGTCGGACTTGATGCCACCAGCGTCGACGCAGGCTCCGGCTCCACCTTCGGCACAGGCTCAGTGGGCCTTGTCTGAGCTTCAACCGCCTTCGGTTGAGGCTGGGGTTGGGGTTGGGGTTGGGGTTGGGGTTGGGTTGAGTGCGGCTGGAGCTGGGCTGGGGCTGGGGCTGGAGCTGGGGCTGGAGCTGGGGCTGGGGCTGAAGCTGAGGCTTGAGCTGAGGTTGAGGCTGAGGCTGTGAGTGAGACTGGGGCTGAGGCTGAGGCTGAGGCTGAGGCTGAAGATTGAAGCTGAGACTGGACTGAGGTTGAGGTTGAGGTTGAGGTTGAGGTTGAGGCTGAGGCTGAGGCTGAGGCTGAGGTTGAGGCTGAGACTGGGGCTGAGACTGAGACTGGAGCTGACGCTGAATCTGAGGCTGAATCTGAGGCTGGGGCTGGGCCCCAGGCACCGGGATGGCGACGGCCGTAGGCTCCGGTACAGGCCCGCAGCTGAGCGCTGAGCACAGGCGCAGGCGCAGGGCGAAGGCGAAGGCGCAGGCGCGCGGGCGCAGGCAGGCGCGGGAGCGGGGCGCGGGCACAGGTGCGGGCCAGGTACAGGCACAGACACAGGCACAGGCTCCACGTCCGGCTCCGGCTTTAGTTCCAGCTTTGGTTCCGGCCCCGGCTTTGGCTCCGGATCCGGCGCCGGCAGCGCCTTGGTCTTGAGCTCCGCCTTCGGCACGACCTTCACCCCCGGCGCGATCTCGGGC